GTAAATAGGGAAGGGTGGAGGGTGTGAAGGGAGGACTAGGAATGGGGAAAAAATAAGAACCAAGATGCATTATATAAAGGTACAATTCCTAATGAGAAATGTAATTGTGTTGTATACCTACAATGTACCAATAAAAGAATTTAATCCAAAAAAAAAACTTGCCAGGCTTATAGATAAAGTAGTTAGATTGTTATGGACATCAAAAACTCACGTTTAGCCTACAAGGCCCCAGGCCCGCCACATGCTCCATATGTTCGGGCAGAGAATGTAGCATTATGCCAGGCTGCCCATTCTTTTGCAGAGCAGCTCAAGCTGTTGGACTATTCAGAAATCCCCTCCCTGCTCCTGTGTTAGGTGAGGGCCACCCTCCTCCATCACTGGCCACTGGCCTCAAGCCACCCTTCCTGCTCCAGGGTTGATCTGGATTGTCCACAAAGGCCCTGTAGTAGCCTCCCTCTGCTTGGCACACTGTGGCTGGTGAGGGGGAACCTTTAAGAGGAAGCTCTGGTGGGAATCTTGCAGTCTTTGGAGCTATGGGACCCTGGTCCCTTCTCTGCCACGTGATGTAAGTGGGTTTTGCTTTACCCAGGTACTCACCATGCTGCTCTGCCTCACCATGGCCCAAAACAGTGGGGCCAACCAGTCAGGGCCCAGAACCTCCAGAACTGTGTGCAGAGATGAACCTCACTTAAGCTGGTTATCTCAAGAGCTCAGCATCGTGACAGCAGCCTGACTAACACGGCCCTCTTCTGCAAGGAGAGAGCAGCCTGTTTCTCCACATTCATCTCTCTGAGGGAAAACTCCAGTTGTCACCTACTGTCTCCTGCCACCTTCCAGGTGTGGTGTCAGATGCTGGGGATAAAACTACGAGTCCCAGACCCTGCCTTCCAGCTCACAGCCACATGACGGATAGGATGAGGAGAGGATAAGAAAACAGAGGAGCAGGGCCTGAGAGCACACAGGGTACCCCATCCTGCCACAGGGCCATGCCCTCTGTGTTAGTCCTGCTGAGGAGCTGTGAGGAGAGGAATAACCCCAGCAGGTGACTCACCTGCTTAAAATCCCAGTATATGTGCAGTTGACTCTGGGCCGCCTTGGAACACGCCTCTAACGTGGGCTTCTCCCTGAGGCCTGGGTCCGTCAGGCAGCGCTGGGCATCTTGATGCTCTGCGACCAGTGGCCCCACATAGAGCTCCCCAGACAGGCGGTAGTAGACATTCTGAAAGGGAGCAAGGGATCTGCCCAGGGAAAGCCCAGCTGCAGGAGAGAAGCTACAAACCCTAGCAGGGGCCTTGCAGCCGGGAAACCGCTCTTGGAGTTCCTGAGTGGACACTGCCTGTTCAATCTGTGTGCACAGGAGGCTGTTTTTGTGCCTCAGTTTCTCAGGCTGTTAAGCAGGAAGGACATCTATCAAGCATTCCTCAAAAGAGGCCCATGAGGGCAACATGCAAAGGAAGACAGCAGAGGTGACTGTTCTCCCTGGTGCACCTCGCACTTGGAACCAGAGCCCTGGACCCTGTTAGGGGCTTCTGCTCCCTCTCTTCTCCAGGCCTCTGCTTTCAGGTCTGCAAGATAAGTGCAAGCAGCTTCCCCTACACACTTCCCAGGGTGCACAGGAGCAGGAAGCGGAAGGGACAGCTGGAGGACTGCTAATGAACTACTGCAGGGAGAGGGAACAGAACCAAGATTCCCATCCCAGGAAGGGAACTGTCTTGCAGTGACTTTCTGAATGGACCAGGAAGTGCTTCCTTATAAAGATTCCTCCCTTACCTGTTAGCCAGGACACTCAGCCCCTGCCTCCCTGTTACCCAACACCGCATGGAAATCTGGCAGGCTTGACCAGGCCTTGGGCCTAAACAGCCTGGCCTTGGGGAGGGAGGGCTGGAGGTACCTGTGGGCTGAACTCGTGGCATGTGTACATGATGGGGGCATTGCCGGGGACAGGTCCTTGATCCAGGCAGATGCCTTTGTCCAAGGAGTTTCTCATCTGAAGGGAAAAAGCACCCCGACACAGTTGGTAAGAGGCAGAGAAGGAGGACACCAACCTGCCCCCGGCCCTGCATTTTCCTTGTACAACAAAGGCACAAAACCCACCAGCCTAGTCAGGCAGGCATGGTAGCACACACCTATAATCCCAGCACTTGGGAGGATGAAGCAGGAGAGTTGCAAGTTCCAGCCCAGCCTGAATGATTTATCAAGACCTTTTCTCAAAAGAAAGAATAACAAGAAAGGGTTGGAGATGCAGCTCAGGGTGAAGGCCCTGGCTTCCATCCCCAGTGCTACAAAAATAGGAAGGAAAGAAGAGAGGAAAGGAGGAAGGCAGGAAGGGAAAAAAGAAAAGAGAAAAATGGAAGGAAAAAAAGAAACCACCAGCTAAGAGTGGAGCTGGGCCCTGGCAGCATTTGCTGAGACTGGGAAACAGATGAAGCCTTAAGGTGCTGCTGAGATGTGGCTTCCTGTGCACAGCACCCCAGCAGACAGAAGGGCGACCCGGACTCAGGCTGCTGGCCAAGACCAAGAGGGTGGGCAGGGCTGGCGCTAGCAGGACCAGAGGGAGAAAGAAGGAAGAGGGGTAGGAACTGGGGAGCAAGAGAGGAAAGGCCAGGAAGGGACAGGGTGGGTTTGGGGTGGGGACTCATGTAATTTGGGTTTCATTGTCTTTGACCACCATACTTTTAAAATCCAAAAAAGCAGTTTCACAATACATACTCTTCCATACCCCACGATGTCATGGATTGGCTTCAGGATTGGATAAACATTTTTCAGGTACCAGTCAAAGGTTTTACATTTCAGTTTCTCCCGGAGTGCTCTTCTGGAAGAGATGTCTCCATAATCAATCCCAGAGTTCTGAAGAAGAAAACGAAAAGCACCATGCATTTCCATGCTTCATTCCAGGTTTCCTCCTTAACTCCACCACAGGTGCAGACCTCCAGTGAGGAAACTGAGGATTTTCCTGGTGGCCAGGGAGATCCTTCACATTTTGTATTTCCAGGGAAAATGGAAAAGCCATGAGTCCTAGGACCTCTTCTGGTTCCCTGGACATTTGTAAAGCCTGCTTGTGGGGTCCACTCAGGTTTATTTCTCAGGATTACTCCTTTTGGGGATGATATTTGCTTCAACAAGGCACATAGTATTCCTCATGATGGCCCAAACGGCTTTCAAAGGAATTCTAGCACCCAGATCTGGAGGTTAGATTCCCTAGAAGTGATATTTGTGTGTAATCCAAGTGAAGAGGCAAGAAAGAGGTAAATCAGGTGGGCATCTGCCCTCCTCCCAGAACATTCCTTTGAGGTTCATTTCAGATTGCCTCTTAGGGACAGTTCCCTCTACAGTTCGGTACACTCACAAATGTAACTCTGTAGAGGGAAAGAAAGGAGTGTACATATTTTCCTATCATACCTGGTTTACTGGGCACCAGATGAAATTCTTCCCCATGTTTTCAAACTAACTAGATTATCGGCACTTTGATAAAGGGAGGGGTTTAGTTGCTTTTGTTTTTTGCTTTTGTTTGCTTTGGTTTGGTTGGTTGGTTTGTCTGGTATTGGGCACTGACACCTTTGTTCAAGGGTCTTTGTACTGAGCTAAATTCCCAGTGCTTTTTAAAAATTTTTGAGATAGCATCTAAGTCACTAAACTGCCCAGTCTGTGCTGGAACTTTCCATCCTCCTGCCTCAGCTTCTCAGAGGGCTGGGGTTACAAGTGTGTGTCACCTGTACAGGTGTGTCTCACAGGTGTGTGTACAGGTGTGTGTCACCTCCAAAGGAAGGGCTTTGATGACCCTGAATTCTGAAGAAGGCTCAGGCATTTCTGCACATATTTACCTTCTCCATCCCAGTGTGCTCCATGTTTAACCTGGATCCTGACTCCATCCTGTTTCCAGACTTTCCTTTCTAGATCTCTTCCACACTCTCCCGCCACCCTGACTCACTTGCTTCCTGGAAGCTACTTTTCAGATCCAGAGTGGTGGAAGGAGAGAGTTTGCTGATGAGATGATTGTTCTCTGTATGCCGAATGTGCTTGAGCCCAGAGCTGGAGCCGGGGTCGGGGAGAGGCAGCATATCACACTGAGGTCAGGCCACCAGAGCAGCAGACGTCGACTCAGCCAAGTGGATCATCCTCATTTGAGTGCCTCCAATAGAATTGCAGTACCTCCCCGCACCATGCCACTGCACCAGCCATACCCAAATGCTCTTAAGACATGGAATACCTGATGTGCAATTGTCCCCCCAAATAACCCCCCAGTGTGGGAGAAAGCTGACACATTTCCTTGGTTTGAATGTCATCTCTGCTACTTACCACCTTCATCGAAATCTTTCTAACTCTCTGTGTCTTGGCTTGCTAGTCTGTGAGACACACCTACAGCTATATCCTGTAGTTCATGAGCTAATTTATAAAACAGTGCCTGGGCTTCTGGAGGATGGTGTAATGGTGAGCAGCAGAGAAACAGTCCCTCCAGGATTTGGAGTCCAGATGCTGGAACACAGCAAAATGAGGAAGAGAAGATACTTCCATGGCAAAGAACACCTGAAGAAATTCATGACCACCAAACCAGAACTCCGAAGTGTTCTGAAGGACATTCTAGAAAGAGATAACAAGGCCTACAACTCCATGAACCCCAACAGAATGAGTCCAACATGCAAGGCAAACAATTAAATAGAAGGGAAAGAGAGAAGTAACAACAGGCAACTAATATAACGACAAGATATTTTAATACCTATAAGTTATAGCCATTGATGTGAATGGTCTCAATTCACCAATCAAGAGAAACAGATTGGGAGAATGGATCAAGAAGCAAGACCCAACAATATGCTACATACAAGAAACATATTTAACTCAAAAAAATTCATAGACTGAAAGTTAAAGAATAAGGAACAAAAATGATTAAAATGAATAATTGATAATTTGAAATAGGAAGAAAAGGTCCAAAGGGGTAGGGGAAGTGGGAGGGGAAAGAGGAAAGAAAGAAGGGAAAGGAAAAATTATGAGAAAAGGAAAAAATGGAAACAAGGTTTTTGTAAATAGGGAAGGGAGCACAGGGAATGGGGAAAAAAATAAGAGCCAAGATACTTCATGTACAAGTACAAGCACTCAATGATAAATGTAAATGTATTGTGTACCTAAAATATACCAATAAAATAATTTAAGCAAAAGAAAAAAAAGAGTAAGGAACAATACTCCATGCAACAGGAATCCAGAAATAAAGGAGAGGCATTTGCAGACAAAGTAGACTTCAAGCCAAGACTGATCAGAAGAGACTAAGAAGGCCATGATATACTTATTATGAGAACAATCCAAGAGGAACAGATAATAATCATAAATATATATGCTGCAAATATAGGCCCATCTAACTAAAACAAACACTAATTGACATGAAAAATCAGGTAGGCACTAACACAATTGTAGTGGGGGACCTTAACACCCCATTGTCACAAATAGGTCAACCAGACAAAAAATCAAGAAAGAAATATCAGAACTGAAGCAAACTTTTGAACAAATGAACTTAGTAAATGTGTATAGTGTTCCATTCCACAATATTAGAATACACATTCTTCTCAGCTGCACATGGGACCTTCTCCAAAATAGACCACATAGCTCATAGAACATGCTTCTGTAAATGAGAAGGAATTGAAATTATCCCATGCATATTATCAGACAATAGTGCAATGAAATTGGAAGTCAATGGCAAAAGAAACCACAAGAACTTCATAAATGCATGGAAATTAAATAACACACTCCTGAACAACCAATGGGTCACAGATGAAATTAAAGAAATTAGACAGTTTCTACAATTAAATGATAATGCCTCAATGAATTTGTGAGATGCAATGGAAGCAATCATCTGAGGAAAATTTATAGTGGTGAATTCTCAGAGTGAGCTCCACCAAGGGGAAATTCCAGGGGAAATGAGGTTGAAAAGTCTGATAATCAACCACCTGAACATTCTGAACTGATAGTACAGGAAGTAACAAAGAAGATGAATGAGGCTCTAGAAAAATTCGAAACAGAAATAATCTCCCAGATAACTACAGAGATGATAAGCAGAGTGAAAGACATGATTAGAGACTCTAGAACAGAAACAGATAAAAAAAATAGATAACCTACAATGTGGGAAAAAAATTTTAGCAGCTGTACCTCAGACAAAGGACTACTATCTAAAATATATAAAGAACTGAAAAAAATCAGACGGCCCCCCCAATTCAAAGACCCAATTCAAAACTGGGCATCTGAAATGAACAGACATTTCTCAGACAAAGAAGTAAAAGCAGCAAATAAACGTATGAAAAAATGTTCAACACTACTGGTAATTCGAGAGATGAAGATGAAAACAACACTGAGATTCCACCTCACCCCAGAGAGAATGGCTGCTATCAAGAAGCCAACCAATAACAAATGCTGGCGGGGGTGTGGGGAGAAAGGAACCCTTCTGCATTGTTGGTGGGAGTGCAGACTGGTGCAACCACTGTGGAAATCAGTATGGAGACACCTCAAAGAACTAGGGCTGGAGGTCCCATTTGACCCAGCTATTCCCCTGCTGGGTATCTTCCCAAAAGAATTAAAAGAATCATACCACAGCGATAT